TGTATTTTCGATTAGAATATAAGTAACTCAAGATCAGGAACTAAAACCCTTTAGAGATGAATCGATAATACCACTTTCCTGTCAGCCAAATATAGTGCTATTAGAGTTCTGAAAAATTAAAAGAGAAGGCCATTCTTGGTTGATTATTGTTTTTAAAAGTCTACATTTTTAATGTAGCCAAGTGCTAAACACTTAGGCTTGTGGAACAATGAAGGACGAATAAGTAGCTGTGATATATACACTGTGATTGTGCAGACCTCACTGGCTTAGAAAGCCCTTTCCAGACAAGGGTGTGGCTGTGAAACTTGTTTAGATTGAGCATGTTGATAAGCTAAATTTCCAAATGTCTTAATTTTTCATAGAATATATGTTTTATTTATCTTCTGTTCTGTGCCTTTTTAAGAGTTTTATTCTTTCTTGAGTTTGGTTGAAATGATTACACACCAATTCTTACCCTCATTTTCAGAAAGATGTACATCTATGTAAGTACCAGGATAAATTTAAACGTTGTGGTTAAACCTGATTTTAAACACATTTTTCTAGGGCCTGAATGTTTTTAAATGCTTAATGCTTAAACACTGTGGCGGGAGTGGGGTATGCAGTGGACAGGAGATTTTTAGGATGATTCTTAGAATGATTTTTAGAATGATTAGCTGTTTAGTTTTGTTTTTTTGTTGACTGAAAACCCTCAAATTAACAGTCTTTTAAAACTAGAATAAGATGTATACCCATAACAAATTACTGTTAATTGCACTTAAAAAATACAGCATTAAAGTTTGCTGACAAACCTTTTCTAGGACCAAAAATCTAACGTTTTACATTGGAACGAATTTACAGGATAAACCATTCCACTTGCCTCATTGTTTTCTGCCTCTATGCCTATTTTGCTATGCAAAAGCTTTATGTCAATTTACTTTTTGAGCCGTTTAAGACCAAACCAAATTATTCCTTCAGAACATTTTAAACAATCCCTTAAAGACCTCTTTTTCTTGGCTATGTTTCCAATCTTGGCTTATCACTGTAATATTTCATGCTCCATGCTTCTGAAAAAATTCAATATTCAAGAACAAAGTAATCCAGAGCTTTACTTCATTTCAGTCATTTTATGTCCTAGGGCTGTCCCAACTCAATGACCCAGTTTTTATTGTGTCACATCTGTCTGTGCTGACTGCGACCAGCTTGCCTAAGCCTTTTCCTGTCCCTTATCAGTTTTCCCTTAATTCAAAAAAAAAATTATTTTTTAAAATTCTTTGCACTTCTCCTTTCACAGCTTTTAGATTTTTTCCTCCTTTGGAGACTCTGTTACTGTGATAGCTACTCAGAAACACAAAGATGAGTGGGTGACTAAGGTCTCTAAGTCTTTCCTTGTCAAAATTTTCATTGCAATATCTTTAGAATTACAGAAAGTGGATATTATAATTTGGCAATATGCATCAACAGCCCTCAAAAATGTTCATACCCTATGATCCAGCAGTTTCACTTCTGAGACTCTAGCTTACTAATTAAAAAGAATCATCTAAGATATGGAAAAAAGCTGTATACATGAGATGTTCATTACAATGTTATGTATTGTTGGGGAGTTCTTTTGCTCGGTCTAATAATTAAATTGATGCAAACAGATTAATAGGAAGAAAAAAACCCCAATTTAATTCATATGCACAGAGGTCTCATAAAAATGGAATCCTCGAGGTGAACAAAGCAGGCTGTTTATTTATTATTTTTAGACAAGGAAACAATTATTTGTGAAGATTTAACAAAGGGGCTTGTGCTTGGGGTAGCAGACTAATGAAGAGGTAACAAAGTTTGTCTACAGAGTTTTCTTAGCCTTGAATTTCCTAACTCTGGTGATAAGGATGCTTTCTATCCTCCTGGTATAAGGAGGATACTTTCACATGGGAGGTTATTTCCTGCTTTCATGGGGAAAGAGGGGGTTAGAGTGTTTTTCTATATCATTTTTTCTCCACTGGCTTAAATTCAAACTAATCAATATGTCATTGTAGCATATCTTGGGGCAGCCTGCTCTGAGGTCCAACAGTATACATGCAAAAGAAGAAAACAACCCAAATATCCAACAATAGGAGAGAAGTTTAATAAATTACTGTCTATCTACTTGATGGAATATTGTGCAATCATTTAAGATAATGGTCATGTTGACTATGTAGAAAGATAGGTAAAAATTTATAATGTTTTCAGAAAAGCAGGGTGCAAAGTCGTAAGTGCTGGTGGTCACAGCTATGTTTTAAAAAGCATTTACAACAGGAAAACTGCAAGGAAAGAGGACATTTGCTAATACTTGTTATTTTAGGGTATGGAATTATAGATGATTTTTCTTTCCTTTACTCTCAAAATCTTGATTCAAATTCTTTTAAAATTTAAGTTTTTGAAAACTATAGTCTTCACAGATGCAAATTAAGAACTCTTCAGATATGCCACGTCAGATAAAATTTATAAAAGACTATTTCAGATAGAGCTCTATTTAAGTCTAATAATAATCTAACAATGGCCAGGGGATGGGGGTGGATAAGATAGCGAGTACATCATTTTGTTTACCATTGTGTGTAATCCCCAAAAAGATACATTAGAAAAAAAATTTTTAATACCTATTTTAAAATATAAAATAAAATTATTAAAAAAAAATCTTAATAGGTTCTACTCAAGTTTATTTTACTGCCACTGACTTTATCCAGGCCAGTTTGTTCTCTCCAAAGTTGCTTCATCAAGTTCTACCTCTAGCCCAACCCTTATAGTACATTTCCCACACTGTTTTCAGAGAAATCTTTCTGAAACCTAAATGTATGTGATATTTCACTGTTTAAACTATTCAGGGATTCAGAATATTAGAGTCTTTAGCTTACTAGCTCCTCCCAAGCTTCTCTATCTGATTCTGTGTCCTTTCTTCTCATGCACCCTTCCCACCAGTTTTATCAAACTACATGTAATAACCTGAAACAGTACTCAGAGTCACTATTGCTTCTGTCTTTTAATACTGAAACTAACACTTAATACCAGCTCAGTCTTCAAATCCCAAAGTGTTACTTTCTTTGGGAAGCCTTCCCAGATTCCTCATCTTTTATGTATTCTCTGTAATCCTACAGTGCTATCCCTGATTTGCCCATCTGCTTTTTCCACCAGACAGTAAACGTCTTGTTATTGTGTGCACGGGCAAGCGCAAGCGAGTGTGTATGAGCAAGTGTGTTTAACAGCACTCCCTGCCCCTCCCGCCCCATGTCCCTTCCCTGTGCTCTGACAATGAGAGGAATAGTGATTGCTAAATGGTGTTGATGAAGGGCTAGTATGCTAATCCTGGACACCAAATGCTAGGAAAAAAGAGAGGAGATGCACTGGAAGCCAAGGACTGTTAACTGTCAGGTACTTATTAGGTAGAAACTCATTCACTGCACCTCCCTGATGAAGTTAGACTTTACTTCCAACGTTGTACCCCTGAGAACAGGGAGCACATTTATGTGTCTATGAACTCTCCACTCTTCCTTGTACATACTAGGCATTCAAACATATGTTGATTAAAATCCAATTTTTAAAAATCATTCCGATTTACAGAAATTCACATCCACCTTGTCTATAATTAGGAAAAAACCCTGGAAAAAAAAATATGTGAAAGACAAAGTGTTTGTGAAGCTCAGTGTCCTAACTAGAAAACTTCAGAACAGTGCTGTGAACCCTGAAGAGGAAGAGGTAACTGGAATTAAGGATGGGCAAACTTATTCAAATAAAATAAAAATAAGGACTGCCTAAACTCCAAATGTGCTGACATGGAAATATCTATCTTGATTTTCGTATGCTTACATAGGGAACCAGCTATACTCCAAAAGAAAATATTGGTTCAGCCTAACACAAAATCATGGTTTTATTGTTTAGACAAAAAACAAATAACTTGGTCATGTTCTCAATGGATTTTCTTAGTTTCTTTTTTCCCATCCTTATTATATCTGTATTTTAAGCACTATGGCTATTAGAGCAAAATTTTTTTAAAATTTTAATAAATTGAATACATTTTCCCCCAATTTTTATAGTTGTTAAAATTTTTGGTTATCACTCTTAACATTTTAGTGATTACTCGTTTAACCTTAAAGTTTAAATGTTAAATGTTTCAGAGGCTCTGATATTTAAAATAAAACTCTGGAAACAGCTATTAAATAGAAAATTCTTTCTTCATCATCCCCTTAATTTATCTGCTATGTAGATTTAGTGTTATTTTATATTTTCTTATAAACTCACCTATCTATTCCTATCTGGAAACAAACGCAACAAATATGTTTTAGTAAACTATCCAAACAGAATTCTATTTTGAATTTCAAATTATTGGAATATACCTAGTGACAGCTTTGGTATAGGGGAAAGGCTAATCAGCCAGTGCATGGGGGTAGAAAAATTTGACTGAACTTTATATATAATAATAGAAAGAGCATAAATAGACTGGTCAGGTATGATTAAGAGTGCGAAATAAAAAAATTTTCAAAAATTAAGCAATATAAGAATGTATAAGGCACAGCATGGAAGTCCTAAAATAAGCATGAATTACAGAACAGGAAGATTAGAAAGAATGATTTTTAAGGTAGCTACAACTATCTCAGTAAAATACATTACTTATAAAGGCACATTTCCCTATAGGACAGAAAACATTATATCCCTTAAGACAATCCAATAGTCACTTAAAAATAATGTTCAGATACACCCAAGCAAACTCTGTAATAAAAATAACAAACCCACAGCCCAAAAGAACTGTACAAGACAGGAATGATTCCTACAGATACTTTAACATAAATATTTTATACCTTATTGTAAAGACATTTTACACACCACCGCCATAAATACCAAACACGGTTTTATTTATCTACTTATTTATTTTTTTGAAAGATTTTTTTGATGTGGACCACTTTTAAAGTCTTTATTGAATTTGTTACAATATTGCTTCTGTTTCATGTTTTGGTTTTTTGGCCGTGAGGCATGTGGGATCTTAGCTCCCCGACCAGGGATCAAACCTGCATCCCCTGCACTGGAAGGCGAAGTCTTAACCACCAAACTGCCAGGGAAGTCCCTGAACATGGTTTTATGAAAGTAACAATTTTAGAATAAAAACATTTCTTAAATAGCATGATAATCCACCTGTTTTCTTCTTAACCTCAGTATAACAGCTAAGACCCTAGCAGACATGAAAATTTGGTGTCTTAGTTTACAAATGTAGTCTAATACATCGGAATACTGACAAGCATTTCCACGTGCTTCAGACATACTGCCAACACATAGATAGCCAACAAGATTAAAAGAAATATACACATTTCTAGTTATAGGTACTAATTAGAAATATTACAGTAAAGATGTAATGCCACCAATACAGGTTTTTACACACCTGAAAAAGTCAACAACAACAAAAAATTTCAGATATTTGACATCAGGTAGACAACACATAGGCTTTAGGGTTGATTTACTGCTTTCATGTGATGTGCAAATAGTCTTATCATTGCCCCCAACCTTGGAATTTCAGAGCCAGAGAGCATACAGTTCAAAACACTTGCTTTATCCTTTTTCTCGTGCTAGCCCTCTGGTGTTTTCCTAATTCCTGCAGTTTTCTAGAATGATCTTTCAGATTTTCACTCAACAGCACTGGGTCAAATCTCTTCTATACAGGATCTCACTCTTCTCATGTCTCCTCTGCTCACAGAGAGCCGGTCAAAGTCTTGGAGGTGGAAACGAGTTGCCAACTGATTTACCATTTTCCTTAAGGTAAGAAATGCTGAAACAACTTGGAAAGTAAGGAATATAGTGAAGATGATATGTACTGCTTTTTCCAAGGGCAGATTCGTTAGGCCTTCATTGAACAGCAAGAATAGAATTAAAGGCAACTGCAATAGAAGGCTCAAAAGCCAAAAGCCAGCCAGCTCAGGAACCTGCAATGACACACATGATGAGTATCAGATCAGTGAAGTACAGTCTTCTGTTTGTATCAATAAGCAAGTGATACTACTTGATGGCACTACTGTGAACGTACATTTTGAGCTCTGTAAATCAAAAGGAGTACAACATGGTCCTTGTCCTCAGAAAACTTACAGTCTAGACTGGAAGAGAAAACTTACTTATGGGACAGTCCTAGAATACTACAGTGAATAATGAAATGCACCACTTAGCATTATAGACTAAATGCTACAAAAAATAAGACAAGAGGGTAAGTAGGGTAGGTAAAAGACAGAATTCAAGGAGGTAGGCTTTTAAAGTTGGGTAGAAGGAGGAAGAGGCAAGAACTTAAGTAAGCAAAGATGTGGAATGAGTATGACTGGGAAACAACACATCACCTGGAATGGATGCTTGGATTAGGAAAAAGCAAGAAATACTTGGGACAGTATACAGTGGGACAGGCTGGAACAGGCCCTTATGAAGGGCCTGAAAGAACACAGAAATCTTTAGGGATTATCCCTAAATTCTGGTAACTGTAAATGCTTAGGCAGCATGATAATTCAGAAAACATGAGCCTTGCAGAGGAAATGAGTTTATCATTTCCCCCCATTCTCTTATTCAGGATCTAAATAATCACGTTTAATTGACCAAGTATTTTCAAGACTGGTGAGAAGAGGGAAAACTACCACTTCTTAAGTGTTTACTATGTTCAGGTACTTTATATAAATTACTTAATCCTAACAAACCTGTGAAGTAAATATTTCCCCAATTTTATATGTGAAGAAACCAAGGCTCAAGAGATTAAGCAAACAGACCACAGTGACAGATGTGGTGAAGTTGGAGCTAAGCCTTAACTACAGGCCTTTGCTCCTTCCATCACATCTCACTGCCTTTTCCTTGTTAGGAAAATCTTACTGCATTTATGTGTAGCACTGAGAGAAAGGAAAGAAGAGCCTACCTTCTCCTGCAGGTTCCCCATGTAGCCCAGATACAACCTGATAGCTTCAATTAAGGTTATTAGGATGATAACGGTGACCACAATGAATTTGTAGTAATCAGGCAAGATTGAATACTAAAAAAACAAAAATAAACGTGTTCATAAAATCTCACATATAGTAAGACTGACCTGAGATTAAAAAAAAATATGAAGAACTTTAATTTTATTGACAATGTAACAATGCTAGGGACGGCAGAAGAGACCTCAGCAGAAGTAGTAAAGTGTAGATTTACCTTCATCTGAAGCATCATAATGCTGCTCACCCACCAAAGTGGGAAAAAATAAGTGTTAAAATAAAGTGACATCTGCAATGCCAAACTGGAAACCATTTCATTATCTACGGAAGAAAGAGAGAGAAAAGGAACAAACTCTTAACCCTGGTCTCTGCCCTATACGTCCTTTAGTTCCTTAGAATTAATAACCATAGCAGCAGCTTAACGAAACTCCAAATTTTAAGCCTATTTATAATCATTGACAGTGAAAGGAAATAGTCATCATAATACTATTTAGTTCCTATGTTGGCTACTTGGGGGTATGTTTCATATTTTTCAATTACTTTATCATTTTCCCACTACAGTCTGCTGACTTTTTTGCATACTACTGGTATAAATTAAATGTGGAATATCAATATGAATCCTATTGAACAGATAATAATAATCATTACCTCCTTTGTAGAGTTCTGTGTAAAGAGCCTATGAAATGAACACATAAAATACATAACAACTAATCTCTCACATATAAACTAATCTCATGCAAAATCTAATCTCCCCAAATTATAATTAAACAGACACCCCTTTTCAGCATATCCTAATCCTACCTGTTCATTCATATCCAATTCAATGCCACTTTTTCCATAAATCCTTTCTTGATCCCATTCCCCCACTCCAGCAGAAATCTCTTTCCCCTCTAGGTACTTATCCCTCTAGTCTGTGTGTAAGAAGTGCTAGCAAAGAGCCACACTCCCCTCACTTGAGACACAATCTGGTTACTGAAGAGACAATGAGCTCTGGAGTCCAAGTAAACCCGGAGCTCCCCAAACTCCCTCAGAACTCTAGATGCCAGACTTGGAATAAATTATTTAACCTCTTTGAGCCTTAATTTATTCACCTGTAAAACAGTAACATTAAAATTACCTCACAGGTTGCTTGTGAAGATTAAAGATAATATAAATTACTTCACCCTAGCACTATGCCTGGCACTTAGTAGGCACTCAATAAATATGAGTCCTTTTTCCTTCTCTTTTACTTATACACAGGCTCATTGTAAGCACAGACCACATTCTACCCAAATTTGAGGCCCTCATAGAACCTAGCATCTTGCTTTACACATGGAAAATACCAAATATGCATAAGCAGAAAGAATGAATTAATGAATTCATTAATGAATGAATGAAAACATACTATTATAAGGGCATTACCAGTGTAGTCATTCATGATACATGAGTTTCATTTATCTAAGGCTGATTACATAGTACCTTTTGCTTTCATATAAGGGAGAAGGGTCCTAAATTAAGAATTTGATTTTTAAAATTGGGCTCTACAAATGCATCCTAAATTTGACTAAATTCCAACAATTTAAGAGCAGATATATATTTTGAAATCCATTGCTCTAAATGAAAGAATTTACAAAGGCTCTAAAATAAATATTTTTTTAAATTAATTTATGTAGTTTTGGCTGTGTTGGGTCTTCGTTGCTGTGCGCGGGCTTTCTCTAGTTGTGGCTAGCGGGGGCTACTCTTGGTTGCGGTGTGTAGACTTCTGATTGCGGTGGCTTCTCTTGTTGCAGAGCTCTCGCTCTAGGCGCATGGGCTTCAGTAGCTGTGGCACACAGGCTCAGTAGTTGTGGCTCGTGGGCTCTAGAGCGCAGGCTCAGTAGTTGTGGCACACAGGCTTAGCTGCTCCGTGGCATGTGGGATCTTCCTGGACCAGGGCTCGAACCTGTGTCCCCTGCATTGGCAGGCAGATTCTTAATCGCTGCGCCACCAGGGAAGCCCCTAAAATAAATTTCTTAAAAACAGATTTTTATGTCTTTTTCTCCGCATCTGAGTATTTTATATCTATCATTTAACAGTTTTAAAATATAAGATAGTCATGGTCTCTCACAGCCAGGTTTTTCCTTTAGCTCCAAGAATATCCCTGATTATTATGTCTACTTTTGCTTGCACCCATTTATTAAATTACCACTAATAAAGGAATGCATTCTTACAGTCTGTTAAATCTGAAGGTAACTCACTTGCCTAGAATTTTCTCATAACAATAGTACAACTCTTGGTCAGCTGTGGTCATAATACACGCTTGCAATTACAGTACAAATAATCAAACCTAATTCAGATCCACAAGGAAGAAAATGTGGAAAAATAGTGATAAATTAGTTAAGCTGAAAATTTTAATACCTTTAGAGCAAACACTGTAGTCAAATTTTGCGAAGAAGTTTTTATGTTAAGAATTTTGTACATGAGCATCTTAAGAGTTATGTCTGTATTTCAGCAGATCAAACTTACCATCATGCAGTTGAAAATCAAGTTAATATGTAAATTAACCTTGAAAGCACAAGACATGAATTTACTAAATTCTGCAAAAGTACAAGTTGACTTCTGTAAACGGAATTTAAATTAAAACATTATGTAATATAAGTCAGGGGTGGGCAAACTACCAGCCAGCTGCCTGTTTTTGTACAGCAAGTGAGCTAAAAATGTTTTTTCACATTTTTAAATGGTTGAGGAAAAAATATCAAAGAATAATAATATTTTGTGACACTGAAAATCATGAAATTCAAACTTTAGTGTCCACAAATAAAGTTTTATTGGAACACTGCCATGTCTATTCAATTACCATTACCTATGACTGCCACAGAGACCTACGGCCTGCAAGGTCTAAAATATTTACTATCTGGCCCTTTACAGAAAACCCCTGATACTTTATATCATCAGATTTTAGTGCCTTGGCTTTAGAATCAAAAACATAATAACCTAATTTTTCACATTATGTTTTTCTCTGTACATCCTAAATCAAGACCAGGCCTAAATTGAGAGGACAGGCAAGTAATCAGGGTGAAAAATTGAAACGATGGGAAATGACTTTTCTTTGCCCCGTTTAAAAAATCCCTAAACCAAGCAAGAGGAAAAGATTTCTATTTCCCAGCACAGTTCAGTGATAAAAGCTGCGTGGGTTTGGTTGACAGTATGTTGTCTATCATGATTTAAGAGAGGGCAACTGTTTTGCAGAAAACTGCGTTGTCACTTGTCATGTTGGATGTAGCATCGTGGTATTTTGTTACTTGATTTAGGACAAGAAGTATAAATAGGGGATGGGAAGGAGAAGGCAGGGAGAGTAAGAGTTTTGTTGAAGGCGTTGCTAGAGTGGCAGGTGCCACTCTGTATTGGATAGCGTTTAAAATAAAATTTCTTTCCATGTCTTCTGCCAGAAAATGGACTTGTGGTGGAAAGTACTTGTTCTGCTAGGAAAGGAGAAAAGGAAAAGATATTTTACTGGGGTAGGGGATAGTAAGTGGAAAGAAGGGATTGCCTGGGCTGTTTCCACTCCACCCTGGCCAGAAAAGCCAGGGCGAATGCCGTAGGGGAAAAGCAAAGTCGGCCTTCTCAGCGTTCTCGGAGGGCAAGGGACCGGACGCGGGCTGCGAAGGCGGCTTTTATATTCTTTTTTGAGGAAGGCCGGCGCCACCTCAGCCGCCCAGCTTGCCATTTAGCCGGCTAGGTCGCAGCTCTATCAACCCCGAACCCGCTGGGTTACGGGGCCGGGGTATCTGGTACCCATCTCAGCCCCATCCCTCGGCCTGGCCCCTCCTCCAAGGAGCTTCCCGCACTGCGGAGAACCACCTGAAGGCGAAACCGCCATCTTAGGTCTGGGCAAAATCTGGCCGCTCCAAAACCCGCGCCAGGTCTTCCGAGGGCCACACGTCCTGCGCTGGGCCTCCGCCACTCACCCGGACCCTCGTTATACTCCGGCCCGGTCCGGCTGGAGTCACTGAACACGGTCCGGCTGAAGTTTCCCAGCCTCTGGCGGACCGGACCTGGCAGCTCCATGCTCTGGCCTTGGTACTGGCTCACTGCTGCGCCTTCGGGCGCTGTGGTGCTCTGAGGTTCCCACGGCAACCGGGAGGCGAGGGCGCTGGGGGCCCGGGCGCACGCGCGGCCGCACGGCACGGCCGAGGCGTGGGGCTCTCTGGAAGGGAGAGGAGTGCGGGGGAACCCATTCCTGCTGAGCGCCTAGCCAGGTGCAAAACCGCGGATTCCTTAGTCCTATTTTAAGCTCCACCACTTTAACAACGAATAAAAAAAATAATAAATGACCTGGGGTTGGACTGTGATACAAGGAGCTCTAATAACCTTGCCAGTGAGATGCAACCTTTCTGGAAGGAAATGCAGAATGAAGGCAGAGCTTAGAGAACGTTCATGACCCAGTAGCTTATACGTGTTTGTGTGTGTGTGTGTGTATGTATACACACACACATACTCTCTTCTAGGAATATATGTTATTATATACTAAGAATATTTCATATATATACATGCCACACACACAACTCTCTCCCAGGAATTTATGATTATATTAGGAATATTTTATATATATACACCATATATTACATATATATATTTGATGGAACACATTGCAGCAGTTTTAAAACATGCTTGCAACGAATTTTTTTTTTTTTTGGCTGCGTTGGGTCTTTGTTGCTGCACGCGGGCTTCTTATTGCGGTGGCTTCTCTTGTTGCAGAGCACGGGCTCTAGGCACGCGGGCTTCAGTAGTTGTGGCTCTCGGGCTTTAGAGCACAGGTTCAGTAGTTGTGGCACACAGGCTTAGTTGCTCCGAGGCATGTGGGATCTTCCTGGACCAGGGATAGAACCCATGTTCCCTGCATTGGCAGGCAGATTCTTAACCACTGCGCCACCAGGGAAGCCCTGAATATTTGATAATATGGATTAAATTTAAGTAAAAATTAAAAACCAGAAGTAAAACTAAATAGGAATTAACCTAATTTAGTAAATGTGTGTGTAAATATGTGGGAAGCAGAGAAGGGGAGGAGATGGCACAAGCACTGCGGCTTCAAAAAAAGACTAGAAGGAAATAATCCGAAATGTTAATAGTAATTTCTAGGTAGTAGATTGTGGGTGATTTAAAAGTTTTTAAACATTATGTATTTTCCAGCTTTCTCTCAAATAAGACATATTTTAAAAAAACTATTTAGGTATAATACATATACAGAAAAGGGAACAAACCGAATATACAGGTGTAACCAAAACCCAGATCAAGAAACAGAAACTTACCAGCACCCCCAGAAGCTCTCCATGCCTATTCCCTTACAGTGACTAACCCTCCACTTCTAACCGACCTTTCCTGACTTCTATAGCATAGAATAGTTTTGCCTATTTTTATTCTTTATATAAAAGTAATTATCCAATAAGTGCTTAAAAAAAAACACTAGTTCTTTGCCCTCAAAATTATTCTTATGAAATTCCTTCATATTGTTAAGTGTAGATTCTTTTTCCTTGTGGTGTGGCCGTACCACAATAAGTTTATCCATTCTACTGCTGATGAGCATCTGTGTATTTTCTAGTTTGGAGCTACTATCAGTAGTGCTGCTTTTGGTGAAAATATGCTTTGTGGTGAACATATGCATGTATTTGTGTTGACTTTGTTCCTAGGAATGAAATTGTTGGCTTATGAGGTACAACCCAGATTTCATAGATACTGCCACTTTTCCAAAGTGGCTGTACCAATTTCTACTGCCTCCAGTGACGTATGAGCATTTCTGTTGCTCCAAATCCGTCACCAGCGCTAGTCATTTTCCATACTTTCCTTTTAGCCATTCTGATGGGTATGTGGTGAACAGTATTATTTTTACAATATAAAGAAAAACCACACATATTTATATAAATGTCAAGAGGAAGGTATGGGAGGAAATCGCTATATGGGTAGAATTTCAAAATAATTCAACAAATGTTAATTGCATTCCTACTCATTTTGGGGCATTGTCTTGGGCTAATAGGGATATAGTCCCTCCCCATCAAGAAGAACAGCCAAGCGAGAGACGTGGAAACAAATAAGTACACTATATTTTAGTAAAGGAACATAGATGAGGAAGCAATTAATTCTGGTTGGGGATGTCAGGAGAAAGCTGGCTAACTTCTGCTTCTCTTCAAGGCGGAGCTCGGCCCTCAGCACCTCCAAAATGGCTTCTAGGACCTCCCTGAAGCTGGTTTAAGTGCCCTTCTCTGTGTTTCTCAAAGCATATTCTTCTGTGTTACTTTGGTCACAGTGCCAGTCACACTGTACTACAGTCTATTTATGTCTGTTTCTCTTGCTAGTTCACAAGCTCTTTGAGGTCAGGGATGGGCTTTCATCTTTATATCCTGAACACTAGCACAATGCCTGACCTAGAATGGGAACTAGATAACCATTGAATGAATAAAGGGAATAAAAAGTCTAAAGACCATTTCCCTATCTTCCCATTTCTAGTTCAAAGACTTAGCCAGCCTTCACTCTGTAGAATGGAGAATTGATGTATTAAAACACAGTTAACTATAGCAACCAAAACAATTTTAAACTTAGCAACGAAGAGTCAATTTTGATCTATTAAATTAACCAAGATTTTTATAAAGAGCACAGTGGAGCAGGAAGCCTCATGCTCTGCTGAATGGATTATAATTTGAACAATCTCACTGAGGAAAGCAATTAACAATGTGTACAAATTGCCTTAAAAATATTCCTGCCTTTAACACACTAATCCAGATTTTAAGCTCTATTTGGGGGAAATAATCATAAAAACAAAGTTTCATACTCCAAGATATTACTTCTAACATTATTGATTTTAGTTAAAAAAAAAAAAAGAAAAAAGGTGGGGGGAGCATTTGAAATGCCCAACCACAGGACGTAGTTAAGCTGTAGTGGAAAGGATGCCTTTGGAAGCAGAGAGAGCAGTGTTCAAATCCCCTCAAATTCTCACTTCACCACGTAAGAGCTATGCGGTTGTTTTCAAACCTTTGTTTTGTAAAGTGAAGCTAGTGCTAATTTACTGTTATGGTTGATGTAAAGATTATTATCATTAAATAAGGCTTTCTATAAGTGATAGCTATCATTGACACATCTATTAAAATGATATTTGTGAAGAAGAAATACCTACAATGGAGTGAAATCATGCTAGTATTTAAGTTTCTGAATTCAACTGTATCTGTGAGGCAATACCTCTATTGCTTTCCCAGTGGATGCAATTAACCATAAAATGGTCCATGAGTGTGTCCATGAATTCTTTTTTTTTTTTGCGTGCTTGAGTTCCTTTAAAGATTTTTTTCCTAGCATTGAAAAAAAATGTAACATATCTTGTTCAGACTGCAATTATTTCATCAAAATTCTGGAGGAAAAATTGATCGAATTATGGGTATTTTTACTTTTATTATTCAAATTTCCTACAATAACCATGCATTTCATAGTTTGAAATAAATCTTATTAAAAATAGAGAGGAAGGGCTTCCCTGGTAGCGCAGTGGTTGAGAGTCCGCCTGCCGATGCAGGGGACACGGGTTCGTGCCCCGGTCCGGGAAGATCCCACATGCCGTGGAGCGGCT